GCAGCGCGGAGCAGGAAGGCGGCAGGCAGGAAGGGAGGGCGGCCGGCGGCTGGCGGGCGAGCGATGCGCGGGCAGGCAGGCAGGGTGGCTGGCTGGGCCCCCAGGGCTGGCAGGAGGGAGGGAGGGAGGACAGGGGCCCACCTCTATGTCAGAGACAGCGGTGCGCAGCTTGCAGCACCAGTTGACCAGGCGGTTGTCCCTGCAGGCGGGCACGATGGACGCAGAGAGAGCGCAGTCGAGGGGGCAGGGAGGCGGCTGGTCACTCTCAGAGGCCTCTTCCGCTGGCCGTCCCAGAAGGCGCGGGCCTTGAGAACTCATGGCTCACAGGGATTCACGAATTCAGGCAGGCACGGAGAGCGGCAGGCGAATCAGAGCGCCGGCATATCGCCGCCTGCTTGCCTGTAGATGAGCCCCTCGCCGTGCAGCCGCACAAACGCCTCCTTCACGGCGGCGCTCAGGTTCTCATCCATTGTGAAGGTCTGCAGGGCGAGGCAGGCCAGGGAGGCGGGGAGGCAGGGAAGCAGGCAAGCGCAGAAGATCGGGCAGGGCGTGGGTCGAGCCCGTGGCAGCCTCCTGCCGGAACCTAACCACGCTTGCAGCCAGCCGCGGCCAGCCGACTAGCAGGCAGGTGGCTGGCACGCTCCCCACGCTGTACATGCTGTGCTGCGCTATGCTGTGCTGTGCAATGCTGTGCATGCTGTGCCGTGCCGCGACACCGGCCCCTCCCCTGCCTGCCGCCCCACCGCAGGCCCACCTTACGGTCCCAGTCCACAGAGGAGCCCATGCGGCGCAGCTGGCTGCAGATGCGGTCGCCATACTCACCCACCCACTCCCACACCTCTGCCAGGAACCCCTCGCGGCCTGCAGGGCACAGGCGGGATGGATGCGCGGCAAGGTTAGCTGGCGCGGGTGAGCAAGCGGGAGGGCGAGGCCGTTGCCGGGGCAAGAGGTGGCGTCCGGCAGGCGCGAGGCGGGCAGCGGGGGTGTCAGGCAGCCGCGAAAGCTGCCAGGGCTGGGGAAGGGCGCGAGGCGGGGCGACAGGCCAGCAGGGCTGCTGGCGCCTAGCACAGCCGACAGACCAACAGGGCCGCGTGCCACCCACCGATGTCGTGCCGCGTCTTGCCCTGCTCCCTCGCAATCTTCTTCTCCACCACCGTCTGCGTGGCGATGCCGGCGTGGTCGGTACCGGGCACCCACAGCGTGTTGTAGCCACTCATGCGCCGCCAGCGCACCACCGTGTCCTGCAGCGCGTGTACGCAGGTGTGTGTGTGGGGGGGGTTGTGGTGGTGGTTGTGGTTGTGGTTGTGGTGGTGGTTGTGGTGGTTGTGGTGGTGGCTGTGTTTGGATGGAGGCAGGGCAGAGACACCACTGCAGCTCGGGCCGTCTCACGCCGAGGCCTCCCTGCCCCCAACCCTGCCAGTCCTGCGGCCTGCCAGACACTTGCTGCTCCCTGCTCCCTGCCCTGCCCAGGCCCCCAGGCACAGCACAGCGCAGCGCAGCGCGGCCCCACCTCAATGGCGTTTGTGAGGGCGTGGCCGATGTGCAGCGAGCCCGTCACGTTGGGCGGCGGGATGACAATCACGAAAGGAGGCTTGTCTGCGGCAGCAGGCGGCCGCCAGTCAGCACCGCGGCAAGCGCACGGCGCTCGGCTTGCTGCACCCCTGCCCTGCCCCGAGGCGCACGGCATGACCACTGCGCGGGGCTGCGGCCTGGCCGCATCGTGCAGCGTGCCACCTGGCGCCCTGCCAGGCTGGCGCCAGGCTGGCGCCAGCTGGAAGGCCGGCAAGGGAGGCGGCAGCGCACCCGAGTTTAGGTCTGGTTTGAAGAAGCCGCGCTGCTGCCACCACTCGTACCACGCAGTCTCTACAGCCTTGGGCACATACCCTTTAGGCATCTCTGCAGGCAGCACCTTCTTCTCCCCGGCAGGCGTGGCACGTGCGGCCTCCAGCCACGCCTGCGCCTCCGCCGCCTCGGCCGCCTGCGGCACACGCAGCCCATGCTGGAATGCTGAGGGGGGCTCACCAGCGCCGGCAACCGCATGTGCTGCCCCCCTGCCGGCGTCCGGCAGGCACGCAGGCAGGCAGGCAGGCACCCTTCCACGCATCCTGCGGGCGCTGCCCTTCCTCCCGGCGCGCAAGCCCCTTCCCCCGCCTCCCACCTTCTTGGCCTCAGCCTCCGCCTTCTTGCCCGCCTTCTTGCCGCCGTCGTCCTTGGGGGCGCCGGCGTCGGAGGCGGCGGCGGCCTTGGCGGCCTCCTTGGCCGCCGCCTTGGCCTTCTTCGCCTCCTTCTCGGCAAGCTTGGCGGCCTTGCGGGCGGCCCTCTCCGGATCCATCTCCTCCAGGTTGGCGGCAGAGGCCTGTGTGCTGGGAGCCGACTCGCTGGCGCCATCCTCGCCGCCGCCGCCGCCGCCGCCGCCCTTTTTCTTCTTCTTCTTCTTCTTGCCGCCCTCGGCCACGCCGGCCGCCGCCGCCGCCGCCTCCGCCCAGCCCGTCGGCTGCTGGCACAGGCTCACGGCGCCTGTGCGGCACGGGGGCAGGCAGAGAAGGCGCAGCATGGGTGGGGCATGCTGGGCAGCGAGCGAGTGCGGCAGCGGGAGGCAGCGGTGCAGCCCCGGGCAAGGTAGAAAGTGAACGATGTGGCCTCCGCGTATAACCCAGCGCCGACAGTTCCAGGCGCGGGGCTTCAAAGAAGGCGAGAGTGTGCTGTGGCACCGAGCTGTGTCCGCCCCGCTTGTGGCAGGCATTGGGCAAGCGGCAGCGGGAGTAAAGCGACGGTGCGTGGGAGGTGGCAGTGACCAGCAATCGCAGCAGACGCGAGCAGCAGTGGCAGTAGCTCAGCCGCGGCAGCAGCCGAGACTGGGAAGAAGGCCAGCTGCAGCGCAGCGGCGGCGCGCGCGCAGCTTGTGTGTGCAGCAGCCGAGCAGGCATGGCACCCACCCAGCACGGCGGCAAACTGGGGCTCTGCTGCGCAGGCCTGCAGCCAGCGCGTGACGCTGCCAAACTGCTGCTGCGCGTCCAGGCCAAGCACATCCTGGTACAGCGGCAGCAGGCTGCTGAGCACTGCCACGTCGGCCAGCGTGGTGGCGGCGCCTGCCAGGCGGCTGCTGCCAGCCAGAGCCGTCTCCAGCTGCACAAGCACCGCCTCCAGCTGCGCCCTAGCGGCGGCGCGCTGCTCGGCGGTGGCGGCGGCGCTGCCCGGCTGGCACCACGCCGCTGCGGCCCGCTCGATGCCGAGCGCCGTCGCCAGCCATGCGTCGATCGCGGCGGCGGCGGCGGCGGGGTAGAGGTCGGCAGCGCCGCCGGCAGAGGCCACTGCAGGCAGCACAAGGACAGGAGCGGGGTGCGGCGAGCGGCTGAGAGACGCTGTGCATGGGTCTCGCATGCATGCGTGCATGCATGCAGTATGTTGCCGCTGAGTTCCTCTTGTCTGTTGGCATGCCCAGTGAGCCAGGGGGGAGGCAGTGGGCAGCACTGGCATCGAGTCCCAGACTTGCCGCCAGTCGCTGGCGGCGCACCGTAGCGGGCAATTGCATCGCTCTGCTGGATTTGTTCTCCGTCTGCGGTGGTCAGCACGGGCTCCTGCGGGCAATGAGGGTCCAAAACAGGGTGTGAGCGACCTGGAGCGGCAGTGGCAGGCAGGCCGCATGCGGGTTGGGGCGTCTCGCACCTTGAGGTCAGCATCGGGAGGCTGCACAGTGAGCTTCAGCTGGTGCCCGAATTGGGCAGCGATCAAGGCGACGTTGGCGCCCGGGTGGCCAGGAGGTGTGCATATTGCCGCCATCGCGCGGCTGCCTCACGGGCCCAGCGCCTGGAGTTCGAGCAGGGGTGATGCACTAACAATGTCGGGATGATGCGCGGGGCCAGGGAGCGACAGTGGCCTGGCATGTGCACCCGGGTCGGCCGAGCTGGCAGGCCCCCTGGATGGCGCCCACATGCATTCACGACTGGCATTGTGCCAGCCAATTCTTTGCTCAGGCGGTGCTGCAGCGTGTTGTGGCCGGGCCGCGAGCAAGCACAGCACCATGCAGGGCCTGCAGCTCAAGCCCACGGTGGGCGCCTTCAGCAGCTCCAAGAGCAGCTTCCGCGGCGTGACGGCAGCCTTCCAGCGGCTCAGCATCGCGCAGCAGCCCGCAGCCCGCCAGCAGCTAGTCGTGGAGGGTGAGGCACAGCCGCTTGCAGGGCTGCCTGGCCGCCTGGCAGGGGCCGCAGTCGGGTACATTGGCCACCACGCGGCCAGCGACGCGCAATGCGTGGCTGGCGGGACCTGTGGGCCGGCGCCATGTGGGCGGGGGCTACAGGCGCTCTACTGCTGCAGCGCCCGCAGCCAGGCCCCTCTCCTTTCTGGGCTGGGCTTGGGGGCATCGGCCTGCCGCATGCTGCCGTGCTTTGCACCTCACTGCCGCCGACACCTCACCTGCCCGCCGCCGCCGTCGCCCCGTGCTCCTCTCCCTGCAGCCAGCCGCGTGTGCGACCTCACCGGCAAGCGCGCCAACAACGGCTACGTGGTGACCTTCTCGCACAAGCGCAACAAGAAGCTGCAGCAGGTCAACCTGCAGTACAAGAAGGTGTACTGGCCAGAGGGGCAGAGGTGCGCCGCTCCTGCCGAACCAACGGTGCTACTGGCTTATGCTGCGGGCCACGCTGCCGCTGCCGGTGGTGGGGCAGGCTGGCGGGGCAGCACATGGATCTGGGGCCAGCCCGGTGCATTCCAGCGGCAGGCTGAGCAGCAGAGCGGGAGCGACGACGGCCTTGGCGCTGCCCGTCGAGGCTGCGGCGCACCGGGGCTGGCAGTTGGGCCAGCCCCGGCTGCGACTGCGGGGCGGCAGGCCAGCCGTGCCGGCCAGCCAGGCAGCGCTGCAGAGCCCAAACAGCACGGCACTCATTTTGGAGCCACAGGGCTGTGCTGTGCACACTGGTTGCCCCCACCGCCAGGATGCGTTCCTCTTGCGCCTCTGCCCAGGCCTCACCCTGCCCCGCCCCTGCCCCTGTGTGCCCTCGCTGTCCTGCCCCGCAGGTGGGTGAAGCTGCGCATCTCCACCAAGGCCATCAAGAGCATTGAGAAGAAGGGGCTGCAGACGATGGCGGATGAGGCGGGCATCGACCTGTGGAAGCTGCCGTTTGAGGACGCGCGCCCCGCGCGCAAGGAGTGGCTGGCCGCCAACGAGCACAACCCGCCCATGGCCAAGAAGCCGCGTGCCATGAAGAACGCCGACAAGTTGGCGGCCAGCAAGAAAACGCCGCTGGTGGCCCGCTACGTGCACGGCAAGATTGCGTACGTGCGGTCCGAGCAGTGAGGCGCCTCGATTGCCGGCATGCTGCCTCGCGCCGGGCTTGCTCTTGTTATTTCGCCTTCCCTAGCACTATCTTCGTTCCCGCTACTCTGCATCAGCAGCAGCAGCTGCTGCCGCCCCGATTTGCTTGCTGACACCGGCGATGGCTGCGAACGAGACATAGCTCCGCCGCAGCGGCACCACAGACAGAGTTTGTAAGCCTCTTCTGACAGCCGTGATGCAATTAAGGGAGGTGGAGAGGTGGCGATGAGGGTGCAGGAGCGGCGGCAGGAGCGGGGTGCGGGATGTGGAGGGGCAGCTGCTAGGGTCCTTTGCGGTGCGCATGGCAGCGCGGGATGGAGGAAAGCCGGTGATGCTGATCGGCCCGCACGCCGATCGCGTTGCGCAATTGTCACCGTTCGTCCCTTGCAATTCTTGCGAAGCACTTCTTCGGGCTGGACATTGTTTGCAAACTCTCCTGCTCCGATCCCTGCGCGCGCGGAGCCTTGGTCCCCACCGCCCGCGACGATGGCAGATAGATACGTCACAGTGGCAAAGCGGGAGGAGGGGGAGACCTACTCGCCTCGTGAGTTGGGGTGGCCTCTGCTCTCTTCGCATTCCCGTCTCCTAGGGCGCCCGCAGCGCTGCTCTTGTGTGCTGGCTGCGTCGCAATTGTCGCTGGGGCGAGGGAACGGGGCGCTGCGTGCCGCGGCGTCGGCCCCGCCCGCTCTTGCAACCCGCTGGCTCACCGCACCCTGCCTGCACTGCCTTCAGGTGGCTATATCCCCCGGCCCGGGCATGAAACCAATAAGACCATCTACGTGGGACAGCTGCGCTACGGTGAGCAGTCGCTGTTGCCCGCTTGACCAGTCAGCAGCACACCGGCGCCAGCTGCCAGGCCTATCCACCGCTGTGCCTCGCGTGGTGAGCACCCCTTGAGCTTCTCCGCTGCCCCTGGCCACAATTCGCCGCAGACACCGACGAGAGGACAGTGCGGAAGTGGTTTGAGGCATATGGCACGGTGGTGACCGTCAAGGTGAGGGCGTGGGCCAGGGCAGGCACGTGTTGCCAGCACCCACATGCATCCTCCCCCGCGCGGCGCCCGCCGTGTTCCTCCATAGCTGCCGCGCCACACCGCTGCTCACCTGCGGCCGCTTCCCTCCCTCCCTCCATTCTTTTTTCTTTCTTTCCTCCCGAGAGCAGCTCATCTACGACAAGGAGACAGGGCGGTCCAAGGGCTTTGGGTTTGTGTCGTTTGAGGACGACCGCGACGCGCGCGACGCGCTCAACGACGCCGGCGGCCGCGACCTGGACGGAGCCGCCATCAAGGTCAACATAGCCCACGGCCCCGCCACTTTTCCACCCTTTGCCGGCCGCGGGCGCGGCAGGTGACTGCGCCACCCAGCTGCCGCTGCTGGCTGGGCGTGAGGGATGGGGAGGTTTGGGGCATGTTGCGTTGTCGGGCACTGGGTGCCAGGGGTGTGGAGGGCCAGGGTGCGCTGCGCTGCGCTGCGGCACACAGCAGGCAGCTGGTAAGGAGGCCAGCGGCGCGTGCGTGGCCTGCGGTATGGTGCCTGCGGCGCAGCAGTGGCGGCGGCGGGCGTGCCGCTTGCACTGACTGCCCACCCTCCTTGCAGGTGTGTTGCTAGTTGCTGTTGGGTGCGACGCACCTCCTGCGTCCATATCTATTCATACACTTCTAGAATTTGGTTCAGACAGGGCCCTGCGCCATTCCTGCCCCAGCCGCTGCGTCCTGCGCACGGGACTCAGCCACCAGGCTAAGCAGGCTAACTCCACTATTGAATTCAATTGTGTGGCACGACACCATTCCTGGGATACCATTGGTGTTCCGCGGTCTGGGATACTATTTTGGGGGATCCCCTGCATTGACAACAGGCGCCTGGATGAATTTTGCTTGCATTGGCAGCTGTGCTTGCCGGCAGCACATACCTGATGCGTCTTGAGGCCTGGGGGACTGCTTGCGCTGCTGCTATGCTATATGGCTACATTGGCAAAGAAAGAGCAACGGTTCTGCTTCCATTGGCAACAGCGACGATACTTTCAGCCTGCCATCTTTACTGCATTACCAAATTATTGCTCCACTCAATTTTACTGCCCCAGCTTTCTAAGGCGCCGGCTTTCCTCCCATTCTATTGAACGACTTCTATTGCTACAAGGCGCCGCCGCCCCCACACCTTCTTGCCTGACATCGTCGGCGGCACGCGTCCCGCGGCGGCCTCTGTGGCGTGCAGGGGCGGCGGCTTTTACGGCGGCCGCGGGGGCGGTGGCTTCGAGCCGCGAGGGCGCGGCTTTGACCGGCGCGTGACTTACGACCGCTATTCCCCGGGGCGCTACTCTCCACGCAGCCGCTCGCGGAGCAGGAGCCCCAGCAGGTGTGTGGAGTGCAGCGCGGCGGCAGCGGAGCATGCTGCGCTTGGCAGCCGCTGAGCTGCCGCTGCCCCCCATGCCGCCGTGTGCCTTGCCGCGCGTGTTCCCCTGGGCTGCCTGCCACCTTCCCCCTGACCTCCAGCTGCACCTTCAGGACCAGAACCCTGGGCTTTATACATGAAAATGAAAAAAGATTGAACAACTAACTCATCCTGCTGCAGGAAGCACGACAGGGAGGAGCGGTACGACGACGACGTCCCCGCCGACAAGCGCCGCCGCCACGGCTCGCCCTCCAGGTGGGCCTGGCAGGCGCCTCCCCACATCTCCAGGCCTCGGCTGCTGCTTGCTGGGCTGCCCACGCTCGCGCAGGGGGAGCACCGGCAGCTTGTTCTGGCTGCTGGTGGCGGGCCGCGGCTTGCCAGCTTCTGACCGCCGCCGCCGCGAGGCTGGCTGCCGCCCGCAGGTCTCGCAGCCGCACCAGCGGGCGCAGTCGCAGCCGCAGCCCGAGCCACAGCAGGAGCCGCAGCAGGAGCCGCAGCGTGTCGCCCAGCCGCGGCGCCGCGGCTGACGAGCGCTCGCCGCCGCGCACCGACCCCGCCGCGGCGCCGCCGCCGTCGGCCGAGCCGGCCAGCTCTGTGCCGGCCTCGGCCCCCACCCACCCGCCCTCTGCGCCTGGATCGGAGAAGACTCCGCCGGGGCTGGGCGTGCCGCCTGCGGCGCGGGCCACCATGCCCGGCGCCAAGCCGCCTCCCTCTGCCGAGGCGGTGAAGAAGGAGCTGCTGCGCCTGCGCAAGCAGGAGCAGGAGCTGGGCAGCCGCGTGCGCAGCCTGGAGGGTGAGGCCTTCTGTTGGCGCTGCCTGCTGCCTGCTGCCTGCTGTCTGTTGGTGCCGCCGCTGGCGCCGCCGCTGGCCCTGGCTGGCTGGCTGGCTGGCCCGTCCTCTGCAGCTGCCGCATGCCTCCCATGCGCTCCCTCGCCTTCTCGAGTCTGCCTCTGCTCCGCCGCTGCACCCCCGACCCGCCTTCCCCTGCCCCTCGGCTCGCTCGCTGCCGCCGCTGCCCCTTTATTTCTCCAACAGAGCGGCTGGCGAAGAAGGAGAGCCAGCTGGCGGGGAGGGAGCGCGACCTGGGCGACGCGCGCCACCAGCTGGCCGGGCAGCAGCAGCAGCTGCAGCAGTACAAGCACTGGGTGGCGGGTGAGCGGCCTGCCGCTGCTCGGCTCTGCTTCAGCCCTCCCGCGCCTGGGCGTCTTGCCACCTGTTTCCCACCTGCCCTGCCTGGCCAGCTGTCGCCACAGCTCCGCTTCCCGCCACGCCTGCCAACCCGCTAACCCTCCTGCCCGCCTGCACCTGTCCCGTGGGTGCAGCCCTGCTGGAGGGCGCAGACAAGCTGGCGAGCAGCCGCGCGGCGGTGGCGGCGGCGGAGGCCGAGGCCAAGCGGCAGGAGGAGGGTCTGGCGGCGCTGCGCCGCGACATCTCGGCAGAGGCCGAGCGCCTGGGGTGAGGCGCCGCCCCGGCCCCCCGCTCGCGTTCCTTTTGCTTCGTGTGCTTCGCCCGCCCCAGTGCTGTGTGCTGCTCCGCGGCCCTGCCCGCCAGGGCAGCGGCCGGCCTGCGGCGGCAGCCGCTGCTGCTGTTCTCCGTGTTTCGCTGCAACCCTGCTTCCCCCATGCCGCCAATCCGCCATCTCCGAGCATCGAGCGTTGCGCCGACCGGCCTCCCCCGCTGGCCTGCCCTGCCGCAGCGCGGAGCTCACCAACGGCGGCGAGTATGGCCAGGCCGAGGACGACGCTGCCTGGGAGCAGCTGGCCGCAGACATTCAGGAGTCGGAGCGCGCGGCGGCGGCGGCGGACGAGGCGCCCGCGGCGCACCCGCCGCAGCCGCCCGCGGGGCAGGCCTCCGACATGGCCCTGCAGGCCGTGATGCAGGAGGCGGCCATGGAAGGTAGGCCTGGCGCCTGGCGCCTGCCCTGCCGGGCACAGCCGCCTCCCGTTGCGATGCACGAGCCGCCAGAGCAGCTGTTGCTGCATGGGCGCTGCACATGGCGCTGCCCCCGCAGCAGCTGAGCTGGCACCGCCGCCGCCGCCGCCTCGTGCTTCCAGGCATCGACGATGCATGACCGCCCCGCGGCTGCGCCCTGGCTGACACGCCCGCCTGCCTGCGGCCCCGGCCTTGCCCCCCCATGCCCGGCCCCGCTCCCACCACCCACAGAGGATGAGCCCGCGGGTGGTGGCTGGACCGCTGCGGGTGGCGGGGCCCACGACGCGGCCGGCGCCGGCGGCCGTTTCTCGGGCCTCAAGTTTGCGGTGCCGCCGGTTTAGAGCCCAAGGCGGCGCCAGCTGGCGCCAGCTGGATGCGCGCAGAGAGACGCGATTCGGGGTTGCTCGGCCGGGGCAATGATTGCGCTGCCTCCTGCCGCAGCTGTACTTTTCGTGCTTTCTTTTAAGAACTATTGGACGTTTTGCGAGCTTGTAACTCTATCGAGCGAAGCGAGTCGCTATATGTGCCGCATGCGTCGGCGGGAGGCAGCTCTCCAGTGGCATTCCCTGTCGGTGCCATCCTTGCCGCAACGCTCTCACCGCCACCCGAGGTCGCACGCAGATCTTTTCGTAGGTAGATAACTCCCTGGAGGTTTGGAGAAGGAGAGGGGAAGGCGCATCATGAGACCACAGCATGCGCTGCGCTGAGCCTGCTGTGCCAAACGCGGCGAGCTCCGCCTCATTGCCCCAACGCCTGGATAGGGGCTCTCATTCCGTCCCTCCTTGCGGCTTTATCGCACCGCCAGGCCCTCCCTTCGCCTCCTTGCCTCCGCCCCCAGCAGCAGCAGCACCACCACCATGCAGCTCCTCAAGTCCCTTCTCGCTGTCCCCAGCAAGCCCAATGGCGCCGGTACGCCGTTACGAGTTGCCTGTGAAGTCCGCAGTGCGCGCAAGGAGGCCCTCTGCGCAAAACGTGTGGCATGTCATATGTGCATGGCGCCACCACCTACATCTCCTCTACTCTTCTGCAGTTTCCAATACTACGAGCCTCTTCTCGCGCCCAGACCCCGAGTCGCTCACCCTGCGCAGCAAGCATGGCAAGCTGGCCGCCGCCGCCGCCGCCCCTGCCGCCGGCGAGGGTTGGACCATCGCAACTGCAGACGCCGCCGTCCACCGCGTTGCCAGCGTGTGCACCGCCCCCGAGCACCAGCAGGTAAAAGGTAAAGGTAAAGGTAAAGGTGGGGAAGAGCCTCCACAAGCTTCACTTCCCGGTTTTAACGTCTAGCTTTAGACCATTATTTGATCTGCCCGACGCGCCAAGTGCAGTACCCCCCACTAGTAGTGAATGGGTCCCGGGGAGGCCTGTGCCGAAGCCTTGGCGATTCTATTAGGCGTTCCCGAAGGAATTGGCTTGGATTGGCGCTGAGCCGGTCAGCTATAGCAGGAGTGCATGGACTACCACCTCTGCCCGCCTCCCGCTGCCAACCTCACTGCCGCCCTCGACTGCGCTGAACCTGTTGATGCTGCCACTGCCGCCATCGCCGCCACCGAGCTGTGGTTCACTGTCGACTTGGAGCTGTCTGCTGACGAGGTGAGGGGCAAGCACAGCTGTGCGCTGCAAAGAGAGGCTGTATCTTCCTTAGCACCACAGCTGACTGCGCCTCAATTCCCTGCCCCCCCTCCTGCAGGCGCGCTGGCTGGTGCAGCCTCCCGCCCTGACCTCCTCACCTGCCGACTGCTCCTCTTCCGCTGAGCCCCAGCAGCAGGAGCCGGCGCCTGCCGCCCTGCAGCGCCGCACATCTTCGCCTCGGGCACTGCTGCGCCGGGCATCGGCTGGCATGCGGGCCAGCGCCCGCCGCCTGCGGGCCAGCCTCAGCGCCCCCGCCTGCTTCAGGGCCGCACCCGCAGCCACCACCTATGCGCCCTGCACATCTGACGGCTGGACCAAGACGCACGTCAACTGGGCCTGAGCTGACTGGCGGCCAGCTGCCGACAGCTGGGCTGCCCCTGAACCAAGGGGCTTTGTACTGATTTGACCAAACAGGTTTCCCTTTTATATTCCGATATTACCACGACTGAAGCAAGCTGCTTTTTCCTTCCTGTAATCCACTGCACTGTGCTGAGGCTCAGGAGGTGCTGCGGGCTGCGCCGGGTGGTGGTGCCCGCAGCGGCGGTGGGGCCATGCACGTGCCTGAGCCACGTCCCCTTGCTGAAATGCCTGGAGGATCCCTCAATTACCCAAATAAGTAGCAGCACACAGGTCACGCCATGTGCAAGTCACTGCCGGTGGCGCATGGTAACCATTCAGGCCCTTGGAAAGGGCGGCAGAAGCAAAGAGCAGAACAGGACCGCTCGCGGGCATGTGAGCGGCTCGCCTGATAGCAGTACAGCGCTTGCCAGCGCGAGCAAGAACAAGGAATACAGTGATTAAGGCATTGGTGAAAAAACAGCTGTCCTGGACTGTAAAAATCCCAGTGAAAATGGCAAGTCCCCAGATAGCTGCCAGTCGCATTCATTGGAGCAGGGTGCGGTTTGCATCACCCCCTCGGCGGCGGGCCCAGGCTGCCCACTCCCCTCCCCAAAGCCCCCGCCGATGCGGGGCAGCCTCTGGCCCGCCGCCGCTGGCGCTCACTCAGCCCCAAACTGTGCGATGTGGGCCAGGGCCGCCACAGACTCGTGCGCCGCCTGCTCGCAGCCCAGCGCCAGGCGCACCCACTCCAGGAGCTCCTCCGGCGCATACTTGAGGCAACGCTCGTCTGCGGCGGCAAACGGGTCGGGCAGCACGGGGTGTCGGCGGCGAGAGGGCGGGGCAGGCAACCAGGGCGTGCACAGCAGCGGCACGGCATGCCACAGCACGCCAAGGCATGCAGGATAGCAGCAAGAGCAGTGGTGCAGCCAAAGGAGGCGCCGCGCACCCGCCAACCGCTCCCCAGTGGCGGCAAAGGAGTAGGACAGGTGCTCCGCCGCCTCGGCACGGTTGGCCTCGTGCCACCTGCACCCGCCCAGCCGGAGAGGTTCATGTCAGCAGCAGCTCAGGTGCATCAGCATCAGCCGCGGCACAGCCAGCAGCGTCACAAGCAGCAGCAGCAGCAGCACAACAGGCATGGCTGCCAAGCAGCGTATTGAGAGTGCGGCAGGGCAGGGCAGCCCCACCCCGCCTCCCCACTCACACGCAGGCGAGGAAGAGCGCCACTGTGTGCGGCGGCGCGCGGCGGAAGCTGATGGGCAGCGCAATCTGCTCGCCCTCGGCCAGCAGCTGCAGCAGGGCGGCGGGAGGGGCAGCGAGGAGGCGAAGGCAAGGGTTTGAGTACTAAGAGATCAAGAGCCGGCCCAGCTGCGCCTGGATGCCTGTGGTGGCAGGCAGCGCCGGGCCCTGCGCCATACGGGACATGAACAGCGGCGAGCCTTGCTGCACGCCCCGCATCCTGCGATCGGACCGCAGCCCGCAGCTGGCAGCTCCCCGCAGCGGCCCACCCGGTAGCTGCCGTCGAGCGCGGCCACGCCCCACACGCCGTAGCTGAGCACACCGGCCGCCACCGCCTCCCCAGCCAGATCGGGGCTGCCCAGCAGGATGTCTTGGAAGCGGGCGGCCCCCGAGATGACATGCTCGGGCATCACCGCGCTTCGGAACATGAGCACCTGCTCGATGATGGGTGGGCACACGCGCAGGCACAGGAGAGGCACAGGAGAGGCGGGAGGGTGTGAGAGGGTGCGGGAGGTTGCGGGAGGCGGCGGGGCAGCGGACGACGGGGCACACAACAGCACGGCAGGGCTAGGGGCAGCCGGCAGCGGCCAGCGCAGCAGAGAGGCGCGGCACGCCGTCGGCAGCTGGCGCCTGGAAGCGGGACAGGACCCCGCCCAAGCCGCAGCCGCCACCCACCGACAACAGGTCATCATTTGGGTCCAGCGGTATGAAGTGCAGCGTGCTGCCCGGCCGGATGGGCTGCCCGCTTCTGGCTGCGTTGTGGAACTGCAGGCCGTGCAGCCACATGCTGCGCCACAGGGCTGCCGCCGACTGGCGCTGGATGTGCATGAAGGGGGCGGCACACACCGTGGGCAGGCAGCAGGCCTGCTGCTGCTGCAGCCAGGCGGCAGGCGCCGCGCCGGCCTGCGGCGATGCACCCGCCTCCCCAGTGTCGCCGAAGCCGCATGCTGCCGCTGCAGGGGCCTGGCATTCCTGCTCTGGCCGTGGGCACCGCAAGCCCAACGCCGCCTCCTCCTGCTAGCCGAAGCTCGCCGGCACAGCGCCCGGCTGCACAGGCAGCGGTGGCGGAAGCAGGATGCACCCCGCCTCCTCGCCTGAGCCACTCAACGCCACGGCAGCGGCTGTGGGTGCACTGCCATCGTCGCTGGGCGCGCGCTGTGCAGCAGCTGCGGAGAAGCTGGAGCATGCTGTGGAGCAGGCCTCCTCCTCCTCCTCCTCCTCCTCCTCCTCCCCTGTCCCCCACACCCCCTCTGCCGGCCCGCTGCTGCACGCCGCGGCGCTGGCGGCAGGGATGCTGCAGCTGTAGCTGCTGCTGCTGCCGCTGCTGCTGCTGGCCTCCGCAGCAGGGCGTGGCCTGCCGTCGCGAACAATGGGCACGGTGCGTGCCTTGCGCGTGGGCCGCTGCTCCGGCGCCAGACGGCTCAGCCGCTTGCCCTCAATCTCTCCCGGCTGCGTCACGAGTCGCACGGTACTGATTCGCGTCGCATGCTCGCTGCGTGTGACGCTAGTGACCCTGCAGCGGCGGGCAGGCGGGGTTGCAGGGGCGACACAAGGGCAGGTGAAGCGGGGGGCGGCGGCGAGGAGGCGCGGCGTTTGACCGGCGGTCAAAGGGCGCCGCGCGAGGGAGCCGTGGCCCCTGAGCCTCACCTGAGGGTCCCCCCTGCCTCCCCTCCCCGTGCAAACACGTTGCCGAAGAAGGTCTGCGGGTCGCCGTCGCCAGCCAGCGGCAGCTCGCCGCTGCTGGCGCACGCCAGCAGCACGCTCTCGGCATCCTCCTCCAGTCCGGGCAGAAGGTCCAAGATGGCAGCCTGCACACACACGCGCAGCTGGCACACCCATCAGGGATGTACATCATCAAGGTGGGAGGCCCAGGCTCGACAGAAACCAAGGCGCTGGGCCGCCGGCGGCAGCGCGTGCCTCGGCCGCCGCTCCGGCTGTCGGTCCCTGTGCGGAGGCGGTGGCGGCGGCGCGGGGCCCCTTCTTGGCCGGCGCCGGCGCCACCGCCGTCTTCCCGCGGTTGCTGGCATCTCCCAGGGGCGGCGGCTTGGCTGCCGGCTTGTGAGGGGCGGTCTTCACGGGTGGCACAATTGAACGCCGCCCTCGCACTGCCATTGCTGCTGCTAGAGGGTTACTGCAG